CACTGCCTGCCAAAACCTGTATTCAGCTCTTCAGGGCTCTGCTTTTCTCCAGCAACTGCCAGTGACCTCACCAACACCTACAGCTGAGCAGAGAGCTGAATTCTTTAAGGTGCTCTAAGCATCGCTGAGATCATCCGCGGGTGCAAGCAAAATGCAAGGCCCCCAGGGGCTGAATTTTGGCACTGATAGTTAAGGTAGTGTGGAACCTTCATATTAAAGTCGCATCTGTTGAAACGTATTTGTGCATTACACTCTGCAAGATTCAATTTATTAACCAGGCCTGTGAACAGCTTTTGTGGGGGTTTCTAAACAACATTTTTAACTTCTTTCACATAAATGTAAAAGGCAGCTGCCTTTCAGAATTCTCATCTTCCTCTACACCTCCCCACCACCCCCCAGTCAGAGATCTGGTTGCAGGAAGAAATAGATCCTCCCTCTTCTTCATGAGCTTTTCCATCATTTCCACGACTCCCTTGTCTTTGCCTATTCTAAATCAATACAAGTTAGTGGCTATACAGGACAGCTTTTCTAGGCCGTTTAGGTCTCTCTTGGCTATGTGCCTATACATTCAGCTGCTTGCAGAGCGTATTACTTATTCACAAGCTGAGACTGGCACAGGGACATTCACAGAAGATTGGGTTTCCTGAGCAGCCCTCATAAGGGGGCAAATACATCTTCCGAGGTAGAACTTGAGAGACAGTGTCATGTTTAAGCCACAGCTACACACCCAGGTAAGAATACGCACGTCCTGGACTGTCAAGTGAGATAGCAATATTCATCAGCCATTCTTTAAAGACTATGGGAGGGCCAGCATATTATTTACAAGAGCAAGAAAGTGAGAAAAAACACAAACCAGTAGACATGATCTGTACAGCATTTAATCACAACACATGGACAAATGTAAACAGGACAGGAGCAAAGAGGTAACACCAACTGCCCACTCTGCACACCAAAGTACAGACACAGTCATAGGCCTGAGACTGAATCAATTCATTCTTTCCAGGTTAGTCTACAGCTTAGTTTAAGCTGTGCAGATTGAACCGATAAGCAAATGAACAGGCATTCACTTTTGATTCTAGAAACGCAGCCACATGCCTGCAGTGACCTGGCCAGAAGCTGGGGGCACTAAAGCAGGCTTCCATGCTTAGCTGGAGCAGACAGATTGGGTCATGGCTAGCCCACCCACCCTGTGAGAGGAGGGAGGGTTGCAGGGGAGATGCAAAGCATCCTGGGATGCTGAGAGACTGCGAGTTAATTTGAGTCTGGAGGGGATCTGGGACAGAAGTTCAATAAACAGATTTACCCTAAATTGGTTAAGTCTGCTACATCCATCCATCCAGGGTTATCTTAAACTGGTTTTGGCCATTTTGAAAGTGGTTTATGTGCACTGAAGTTCTGTTGTGTTATGGATTTGAATTGGTTTCCAATCACTTATACCAGTTTATGTATGATTTCTGTCCCTAGCCCAGCAGAAACACCAAGCAAGAAACTTGTACACCTGGTAGAAGCATCCAAGCCAATGAACCTTACAAAATCTGAAGCCTATACCAGAACAATGTTAACTTTTTGCACTCAGTTGAGAAACTCTTATTTATTTATCTATATCCCACCCTATCCAAAAGGCTCAGAGTGGCTATTAAAAAGGTAGTTATGGACTCCGTATTTCATTACAGCAAGCATAATATTTTCCTCCACAGAAAAACGCACTTGCAAAATAAGTAAGTCAGTAAGAGGAGGAATAGATGCTTCCCTTTCCCCAAAAAGAAATTTTTAAAAATAAAATTTTAAAAAAGAGAAAGAATCAAGTTACCGTTTTCATATCTTTTCTTGATCAGATACTGGTACTCAAGTACACCCACTTCACTCTGAGTTGCTGTTGTCTTTCCTTTTATTAGTGGCTTCCCTCAGAGTTCTTGCAACAACAGAAATACATTTTTCACTCCCATGTCTGGGTTTGGGAAGATCTCTTCACAAGGGACTTCCTGCACATACCTAAGATTTAATGCCTTTGTAGGACTCGTCTCCACAAGAGAAGCAGAGTGGACTCCATTTATACAATTAAAGCAGTTTGGCTCCATGCTTGCAGAGATCAGCGATGTCTCCTCTTGAAATGTGCATAACTCTTTGTTACCTGTAATGTTTTAAGTTCCTGTAACAGCCTTACTATGAAAGAGGGAAAAGGACTGCATTCCTGAACACTGGACAGCCAGAATGCCATTGGTTTTGTAGGCTATGCTCTGTAAGTAGTGCGTGGCTTGCAGCAATTTTTGTCACCTTCCAAGAACCAAATTGTAGCTGAAAGGAAGCATTCTAGACAAAGATAAAAACTGGCACAATCTTCTGAGAAGGGCCCATGATTAAGAACACTTCTTTTAATCTTGCTAAAAAAAAAACCCCAAACTGTCCGTTTTATAGAAGAGCTTTCTATCACTGAAGATCCTGATAGCTCATTAAAAAACACATAACATTGGATTGCCTTCTCTTAGGTCTATCAAGCAGATAGAAATTGTACAAAACTATGCATGGTTAAACAAGATATTTAAGAAGAGTCAAGGATTTGTGGACAATACCTGTTATTGGACCAACTGTATAACTATACATACAGGTAGAGGAAAGGTACAGTGGTACCTGAAAGTTATGTCCTTCCAAACTATATAGATGATCCAATAAAATGTCACGTACGGAAACCCTTGCCCTTCACATTTTTTCTGGATCATCACAGCTACAACATCACCCCAATACTAATGTATATAAAAGGAGGGCAGCTATACTGTGGAACAGCTGGCTTGCTCTCTACTCACATTACCTGGAGACAAGTGTGCTTCCCAAGACGTTAAGGCCCAGCATACAGTAAATGAGCTTCCATCTTTATTAGTGTTTCTGATTCTAAATACCAAGATCTTTGTAAAGCAACATCATTCCACATCACAGCAGAGTGGCAGGATGACACAGCTGAGTTCACAGAAGTACCTTATATTCCCTCCCTTTTCACCCAGATAGCTGGTACTTATGAAATTAAGGCACAGACAGGGCTCCCTAAAGCCAACATGATATAGTTTCCAAAAGACCTTAGACCACACAAATAGCATTCTTACGCTATTTCAGTCTTGGACTTCTCTTAAAAAAAGAGATTTGATGAGTGTGCATGGCATTGAGTAACAGAACTTAGCAGAGTTTCTCCACCCCCTTGCCTCTTGAGACCTGGGGCAGGTGAGTGATTTATCGGTGGTCTGAGACCACAAAACACCTCTATATTAAAGGGCAAACAAACATGCTAGGAGTTGATAATATACAGACATGAGATTTTCCAAGGTGGGAAATCAGTTTTTGGGGAAAGAACTGAGACAACGGTGCCAACAGCATCACCAGCAACTGAAGCCCAAGGCAAGTAAACTGGAATTGGAAGATTTCCTTGCAACCAAGCACCATGTATACACTGTGTGCGCGCTGGGGGAGGGGGCTCTTAAGTAACATGTGTCATAATCTATATGAGAATTTTAAACACAAAAGTTAACAAGTCTCATTTTTCCACGTGCAAGAAGGCCTACATGGATGAACCCACCATAGGAATTGTTCCGGGTTGGCATCGTAAAGTTATTGCAAAGTGTTTCTATGCCAAGGTCAGTTGCAAGTTTACTCTGAAGGTCTTCATGACCAGAAGCAATGAACTGTTGCAGCGAGAGCCTTAATTTACCCAACTCCCTAATCTCTGTCCAAACAGACTGAAAACCTTCTGGTAGTAGAGCAACTCGAGATTTTCAGTTTTGTTCCATCTAGTAAAATGAAGTAATCTGGCAATACACTGAATCCACTACTTGGTACAATGTTGCACAGACCATTTTATTGAATTCAGTCAAAATCTGGACCACAGCCACCCAAGTAAGAGGAGTGTTTGAGCCATTAAAAACCAGATTAAAGACAGAAAATATTTTTGCCTATGACATGGTTGTGGAAGAGGGTAGTACTGTGTGCTGGGAGGAATTGTTTTTCCCCTTTCCGATAGCTATCTGGGAAAATAGCTTAAAAGAAAAATGTTTGGCCTGCTTCAGCAACTCAAGTTGAACATCTGGCTACAGTTGTTTTCCTAGCATGCAATGCTGCTCCTCAATAAGAATTAAGAGAGCAATTCTCAAACGAGGAGAATCTCAATAAAAGGCTGATTTTCCTCCCTTTATTCACCACAAAATCTTCTGGGAAGTAGAGCCTAACATCTCTTTGAAGCAGAACCCCTAATGATGGCAGTGGGTAGCAAAATGCCAACACCCCAGTCAGCAAAATTTCAAAGTTGTGGAGCTCACCCAATCAAAGAATAAGGCCTTTATGGGAAAAGCTTCTGTGTCTGTTATTTTTGTACCAACGGTTTAAGTTAAGCCTTACCAAACCTCTTAATTTGCACGAAGACGGGGAATAAAATCCAAACCACAAGTTATACAATTGTGTCTGCCTTTGCAGTTTAAACGACGTTTGAAAACGGTTCATGAAATTACTTGCATGCCAACACCACCAGGATGCATTAGGGGGACCAAGGTCCCCCTAAATGTTATTAAAGTCGTTAACATTCTTAAAAGGGGCTTTGAAAACAAAATGCAAGCGCATTTTAGCCATTCCCTGGTTGCATCAGTTGTTCTCTTTACCTCTTCTGTTATAAAGATTACAGCCCCTCCTCCCCCGTTATAACTGGAAAGCAGTTTTGGCTCATGAATGCGGGAGAGTCCAAAGCAGCTCTACCAGGGCTAAAACAGCCCAAGTTATGCCCAAGAGGGAAGGAGGATGGCATTCCTCCGTGGTCACAAATCCAGGAAGGGGATTCCAATGCTTAGGTTTTCAGGGCACTGAATACGCTGCCCCATGTCTGCTTCTCTTCCCCCCAAGGTCTGATGCTGCTACCCCCGCGTTACACTACCTCCTTTTGGCAACGTGGGTACAAGATGATGTCCCTCTACCCCAAATACAAGCCAGACCCCCATCCCCTCCCACAGCCCAGGGCTACTGCTCCTCACCGTGTTGTACAGCAGGACTTCGGAGTCTGCAGGCTCTGACAGCTCGCTCAGCTTGCGGTCCAAGCGGAACAGGCTCTGATCCCCACTTTCCAGCACCTCCATGGTGACCTAGGGCCACAGCCAAGCCTGGGGACGTGTACTGGGGGCACACTTCACTGGGGGCTGGAGGCTTGCAGGGAGCAGCCCTGGTCCATAAGACCAGAGGTCTCCTTCTCCCCTCCACACCGGGTGCTCCCTTCAAAGGCTAGAGGACAGGATCTCAAGCTAGAGCAGAGCCCCTCTCCCCCGCTGTCCAGCACTCAGGGCTGCGCCCCCCTAACTGTGTGCACGCAGCTAACCCGCAAAGGGGGGGGAGGCGGGGGCTTTACCAGCTCCCTCTATCAGCTGGGACCCTCCCCACAGCTGCTTCAGGCTTAGCCGGGCTCCAGCCAAGCCCCGCCCCCTACACGGAGTCTGCCAATCGCGGACGGGACTCCAGCTCCCTCTACGGGCTCTGCCCAATCAGACCTTAGGAGACCGGGCGCTGTTTCCCAGCTGTGGAATGCGGGCGGGGTCTCCACATGCGTGGCGTCACAGAAGGGGGCCGGGCCCCCGATGTGGGCGGGAGCTCCATGATGTGTGGCGTCACAAAGGAGGGGGCGGCCCAATAAGAACGCTCGGAGCGCGATGAGCGGATGCTGGGGCCAATAGGATAACGCCAAGACTGCAAAGCCGGGCGGAGCCCCGCCCCCCGGCGCTGGAATGTGGAGGGCGCGGCGCTGTGCGGGCGGGGCGTGGGCTCCTCTCACGCTGCCCGGCGGGCACAGGGCAACCGGCCTGGGGCCCGGCCTCAGCGCATCGCCCGGGCGTCCGCCTCGGGCTCTTCGCCTGCCCGTCTGGGTCTTCCTTTCCCTCCCGTGTGGGAACCCCCCGAACTAAGCACAGCGTTTAGTCCGCGCCTCACGCTCCTGGGCTTTGCCTGGCATCGGCAAGCCCAGGACAGCCATTCCCACAGGCAGCTTAAATGGCAACTAGGAGCTAGAGATGTAAGGCTGGAAAGGACCTCAAGAGATCACCTAGTCTGGCCAGGGATAGAGCCTGTAACTGGTGTTATTTAGCCACTACAGTCTCTGGCCACAGATGTTTCCCGGGCACTTCATGTGGGAGCCGGGGCTCGGCCCTGTGTAGGATCCCAGAAGAAAAGCATGACTTCTGAGGGCATGACTTAGAGGGAAGGCTGAAAGAGCAGGCTTATTTAGGTTGGAGAAGAGGAGGTTGCTAACAGTCTTCACGTACCCAAAGGAGGATTATAGAGAGGACACAGATGTACTTTTCTCTGCAGCCATCAGGCATAGGAGTAGAAGCAATGTATTCAAGCTGCAGCAGAGGCAATTTAGGTTGGAGAGATCCTAAGGTTGCTTTTAGCCGAAGCACAATCTTTTTGTCGTGAACCCATGTTTGCACGTCCCCGAATAAACAGGTTTGATTCAGATTTGAGGCTTTTGTCTGGCAACAAACCCCAGCCCTTACAGATGGACCAGCCCATTGTCCCACATGAAGCGCCTGCAAAGTATCAGAATAAAAAAATTGCCACAGAACAAAAGCAGCTAATTTATTTGCCACTTAAGCCTTGCGTGTCATGTAAACAACTCCCATGCCTGTTTTGATCCAAATTTTGATCAAATGGCCTCAAGTACAGCTTCCTTCCCGCCCCAGATCCCACAGATCCGCGTGGGCAATTCTCCTCCAGGATCTTTCTTACTCCACCCAGCCAACAGCTGCATGAGCGGCAGCAGGAAAACAAATAAGGGCAATCTGAGAACGAACAGGCCCCAATAAACGACCAGCTTGTGTTGAATCGGGTATGTTGCCAAGGCAGCTATTTTAGCTATCTACGTCAAAGCACGCTTGAACGCTTTCTGCATCAGTGCCAGAAAGCAAAGAAGAATCCATCTGAGAGAGAAGGAGTGTTTCTAGGGGACTTACAGGACCCTAAAGGTGTAAAGGAAAGAGATCCTGTTCACCTTAATGAAATTCTGTGCTATCTAAGGCTAAAAATAAACAGGTTTGATTCAGATTTGAGCCTGTTGTATGGCAACAAACTTCAAGCCTTACAGATGGGCAAGCCTATTGCCCCACATGAAGTGCCTGCAAAGTATCCAAATGAAAACTTTGCTGCAAAACAATCACAGCTCATTTGAGTTATTTGCTACTTAAGCCTTGTGTATAAACAACTGTCCCATGTCTGTTTTGATCCAAGTCAAATCTCAGACTAATCAACCTTGGATTAAACCGGTTGTCTGTTTTTAATTTAAGAAGTCACACCAGATGGACACAAGTCAGGTTGTGGAATTTACGGCAATATTGCCCATCACAGATGGATCCAATATTAAATTGACTCTGTTCTGACCTCTGTATAGAGCACCAGTAAAATGAATGCGAAATCTTTTCCCTACAGGGGAATGATTCAAGTTGTACACAAGCTGGTAGTAACAGTCAGGTACAGACAACTGTTTTATGGTTTGTTTGAAGGTCTTTAGTTATTTCAGTCTAAAGTATGCTAGGTAATAGCCTCAGAACTAAATTAATTTCCAGATCCAAAAAGTAATCCCTTCCAGGACAAGACTGAAGTACAGCAGAGGGACATTACTAGTAGATGCACATTACCACTTCCTGTACCATACCTGTCCTAGAGAGACTGTCATTCTATAGGGAATAATTCAGCATTTGCAAAACCATCTCCTGGTCAATATACTGCCAAATTCAGTCTCCAAAACATTCAAATTTACCTAAAATTATTTACCTTAAAAAAAACAAAAGAAAAGGCAGGACAATGCATAAGATGCTGTTTAGCAGCTGGACACTATCAAGAGATTACACCAGTGGTTCTCAACTTTTTAGACTTAAGGCATCCCTTGGAAAATGCCAGCCTTTAGCTTTCATTCACATTTTGACTATGGAAAAAATAATAGGGCAATTCTTCTGTTACAAAGAACTCAGAAAGACTACAACAGGTGAGCATCTTTTTGACATGATGGATACTACACAGGCCTCACCTGGTTTACTGTGTCCAGGTTTGGGCTCCATAGTTCAAGAAGGATGTGGATAGATTGGAAAGAGTCCAGCAGAGAGCAGCAAAAATTAGAAGCTTAAGAAGTATGACAAATTATGAGGGCATGACTTATGAGGAAAAGCTGAAAGAGCTAGGCTTATTTAGTTTGGAGAAGAGAAGGCTGAGGGGTGATTTGGTAACAGGGGTGCAAGATTTTGGGAGCCAATACCAACAGCCAATTTTTAAGGAGGCGTATCGACTGATACCAATCCAATTTCCTATACAGCTGCATGCAGCTGGTAAGTCAGTTGTGGTGAAAGGAGAGGAGAGGGAAGGGGGGGTGCAGATCAAGGGCCCTGTGGTGAGGGAGGAAGGGAGTGGGGCTGAGCTAGGTGCTACCCAGCCACAACAGGGCAGGTGTGGGACGAAGCCACGGCTCATCCAGGGGTGGCTCCCACTGCTGCTCTCGCCGCTTGCCGGGGGGGGGAGGGGGCACGTGCCCCCAGATTTGCACTGGGCGGGCAAGCTGTAGCACTGCCCTTGGGGTAGGCGGTCGTGGCCCTGGGAGGGGGGGG